CTTGTTGGCCAGACAGTACGGAAGCCTCTTTTGCCCGTACAGACACACCCATTTGAAACCAAGGGGAGCAAGGCCAGCTACTCTAGTTTGTAAAGGTGCTGCTTTCCCCAGGAGAGGGCTGACACACCGTTCTGAGAAGGAGAGAATGTAATCTGCGGGTATATTGTGGAGGCCAAAGTAGGATCACTTGAAGTTTGTTGGCTTTTTTTTTTTTGAGAGGGACTAAATGAAGATACATAGATAAAATTAGTCAGAAATGAGTGATGTCTTATACAAAAGCACCACCTACTGGCAAAAAAAAATACCCCTCTCTTTTTCTTATTAATAGACGAGAGAGCGTAGAGAAGAACATTAAGGCAAATCATTTGTTGCCATAACAAGCCTTTCTTTCTCTGGCTTTCGTGATCTTACAGAATTAAACCCAATTTAGCATTTAAATCAAGAGACGACCATAAGCACACATTCTCTTCAATCACCTATGTATACTTAGAGTGAATTGTGTGTAGCGCATTATTTTATAGTCCATAAATTAGTGTACTTATTGCTAGGAGTTTTAATTAAATTCTCCTTAACTCTGGAAGGCATTAACATGGGGGTCTGTGTGCACTTGAGTTTAAAAGGGTCCACCCTGGTGGGCTATTTTATCTCAGCTCATATTGACTTCATGGTTCATTCTGATGGTAGAGGAAACCATTTTTAGATTTCTGGAAGAAAGAGTTTTCCTGGCTCTGGGTAAGAAAGATGACTAGTTCACTAAGATTTAATTAAATCCTTCTATCATGAATCACATCACTGTTTAATAATGAATGTCAATTAGGATTCTGAAAATAAAGTAGCATATAAATAAATGCTTTTGTCTGCCCTTTGACATTTAGATTGTGTCTTCACAGGCAGGATTAGAAAAAAAAAATATATATCTGGTGAGCCCGACCAGAAGAGGCAGCTAATCTGGATGAATCAAAGAAGAAATAACATATTAAAAATGCTGATTCTCTAATAAAGATTTCAGAAGCCGGATTAGCTTGGTTCGGACTGTCAGTGTACCTGGCTTTGACAGGTCTAACGGCTCTCCCCATGAAAGCTACATTCATGGTTAGCCAGCCCTGGCTATAAATGAAGGGTCCCTGCTGGGGCAGTGGGGTGAGCACTGGTGGGAATCCTCCAGCTGCTCCGGGGGTGCAAGATGAGGCAGCCTGCTTCCATCAATACTCGCAGCCTCCGAAGCCCTACGGAGCAGTTCTGTTTTGTCCCATAGGGTTGCTAGGAGTTGGAATCGAATCCAACGCAGTCAGGTTGGGTTTCTATAAACTCATAGGTTAGTTCCTGACCCTACTGCTGATGGCATTTCAGTTGACCCTAAGCTCTACGGGCTATATCCACAGTACGATACTGTAAGCAATATCATAGGTTAGCTTTATTACACTGGGATACAGTCGGATGTATGATATCAATTAGGAGCCCCCTGGGCATTGTTGGGTTGGTGTTGGACTCGTAACTGCAAGGACAGTGGGTCAAACCCACCAGCTGCTCTGGGGGAGAAAGATGAGGCAGGCTGTCTGCTCCTGTAAAGATTTACAGCCTGGGAAGCCCTATTTAGGGTCACTATGGGTCTAGGAGTTGACTCAATGGCAGTTTTAAAAACTTGGATACAAAATAGAAGGGAAGTTTAATTCAGTTATTCTGTTATCAAAGAAGTATTTTCTCAAAAAGAAAAAGTGGCACTTAAAAAAAACAACCACTTAGCTCTATCTGTGCTTATTGAGCTACTTGTTCCTGAGAACAAAATTCTTATAGCACTAGATATTTATGATGGAGCTCGGCGGGTGTAGTGGTTACATTCTGGACTGTCAATGGAAAGATTAGCAGTTTGAAGCCCTTAGCTGCTCCATATGAGAAAGATGAGGCTTTCTCTTTCTGTAAAGAATGAGTCTCAGACACCCACGGGGGCATTTATTTCTACCTTTCCTATAGGGACGCCATGAGCTGGAACTGACTCCGTGGCAGTGGGTTTTTGGCGACAGTTGTGACTATTTATCTGGGTGTGTAGTAAAAAGGTAAAGGGGCAAATAGAGGCCAGAATGCAAGCTTCCCCTAGCAGGTCTTCTGTGCACGTTCTCCCCACCGAGGAGTCTGCTTTAGGCCTGAGAAACACTGTTCTCACAGCAGTGCAGAACGCAAACAGGATCGGACACCCAAAGCCAACGAACCCCGCTACCGTCGAGCTGATTCCAACTCATGTGACCCTCTCGCTTCTTCAGATTCCTTATTGCCTCTGCCTGGAAATGAAGACTATCAGACTGCATGGAACCCAGGCTTTTCAGAAACGGCTCTAGCCCAGTTTTTGTTCTTCCTTTTCACAGGTGCTTTCCGAAAACAGATCACTTTTGTTTGGTCTGTTTGTTTCGGTGACAGGCAACAAAACAGACCAAAGAAATCAAGTAAAACTCGAGGGCGATTTTTTCCCCAGAGGTTAGTATTGACCCGCGTGTCACTAGCCTTTATTGTCAAGTCTCTTCTATCAGTCACCTCTGCACCCTATTTCAAATCCGTTTATGCTATTACCTAAGTGAACCACACACACATCTGCTTAGATAAAACCAGATTGTATAATGATTTAGAAGTACAGCTTTGAAGACTTCGAGTACATGCCAAGGTACCAAAAGCTCCACCATACTATTTTATTTTGAGAAAGAAGTGTCGTAAGCTTCTTGTGAAGGTAGGAATATATTACTTGCTGGAGATGAAATACATTCTATTATTTACTTTGAATATCTTATAATAATATTTTGAATATCCAAAATAATTTGAAACTACTACACAAGTCGATAAGGCTACTTTGGCTTTGATTAATATTCGTTTTATAATTGATTTTCCTTGTAAGGTGTTGAGGTCTGTGCACAATTTATTTTACATGAATGTTTTATTTTAGAGATCTTTTCTGCCCACCCCCACCCCCTTTTTAAAAGGCTGGCATTTAATTGTATGAGCTTGGGTGGCACATCATTCGAGGCGTCTTTTTAAAAGCTGCTCTATGTGTGTTTGTGTGTGTGTGTGTGTGTGTGTGTGTGTGTGTGTGTGACGCTCACACTGCCATGGCGTCAATGCCGACTCAGAACTACACTCTCACCCAGAGCAGAGCTGACCCCATGCATTTCTGAGTCTCTACTTCATTTCCTTTTCTTTTACAAAAAATCATTTTATTGAGGGGGCTTGTATAACTGAGTCCCTACTTCTTTATGGGAGTAGAAAGCCCTGTCTTTCTTCCCTGAGCACTCCATGGTTTCAAACTGCAGCCCAATTCGTAAGCACTACACTACCAGGAGGGGCTAAATTGGGAGGACTTAAGAGGGCTATCCATCCTAGTGATAAGGAAAGTGGGTAAATGGAATCCAAGTTCAGAGAATAAATTCAAAGTCAGAGCATGCTCCATGAGAATCAGTGTTTAAAGAAACCTAGTGCTAAACACCCTGTGTCATGCTTTGCTGTGGTGATAGACGGCCTCTCTAGTCTCACTGCCAGGCCTCTCTCCTAGGGGCCTCAGAGAATGAAGATTCTCCTTGTGTAATCAAGGAGGGCTGAAAAGTGTGGCACAGTTGAAACACATAAAGAAAATCTGTAAAAATGCAAATTATCCAGATATTATTAAAATAAAAAGAAAACTACAATCAAAGGAAAAATATATATAGGGAAATCTGATTTAGGGAAATCTCATCCTTTAGAGGGTGAATTTTATGACAAATGAGAAGAAAAACCTCCCAGCATGCATGCATACATTTTAAAGTTGCCTTGCTGGTGCTATGCGCTTAATGCTAGTTCCTTAGAGTAGTTATTATTGCAACTAATGTCTACTTGAATAGTCAAAATTCCTGAGAAAACTTAAATGCCCTAAATGGAGAAATTGAAGCTGATCCCTTTTTACTATATCTTGAATGCTAACCACAATGATCTCAAGGAAGTAGGGTACCGATGCCATGCAGACTTTATTATTTACACACAAGGTTAGGTTTTCAAGGACAGTGAGGAGAACGCACGTACAACTGTGAAGGGCTGAGAGCCCATAATCTACCCACCAGTCAAGGTGAAATCAAGGTCATACAAAAGCTACTGGGGGGATGGGTGGAGATAAGGCTGAGAGGAATGAGCTTGCTTTCTTAGTGTTTTTTTAAACATTCTAATGGATGTTTTATCTTCATATTTTTCTCCTTAACCAGATGAGTAGAGAACTAACTGCCTCTTTCAAACATAGACCAAATATAGAGAATGCTGGTAAAATCCAAAAGTCTCTTGTCATCAAATATTTTAGTCTCTCAAATTTTCTTTTGATGATTAATTGATGTTTTGGAGTCATTAGTTAAATTTAAAGTTGGGTCACAGGTTCATTTTTAGGCTTTCTTTTTTTTTGAATTTACAAAAACGATTTCTCTGATCTACAAGAAGCAGTATGAGTTGTGAATTCGGGGCTCAAGTTTAAGGTTTGAATGCTTCTAGAGACAAGTGACAGGAGTCATTTCTATGACAGAGCACATCTCAAAACTACCACAAGGGGGCAGAAACACATGCTCCAACTTCGGAAAAGAACCAAAAATTGTTCCTATCCTAATGTGGATAGACTATGAGCGGTGTTGACTGGATGGCAGTGAGTTTTTGTTTTTAATGTGCACAGAGTCACAAATATCTACAAATACACAAATGTGTATATGAACATATAGCCTATATAGTGATTACATCGCTCTTCCTATATGTTTATGCTAAGTGAGGATTCTCAATTATCTTAAAGACTTGCCATTTTAACTGCCTTCTGGTTCCTCAGATAAACTATACGAAAACAAAATAATGACTCTCTCCTTCACTGATAGAAGTGGAAACAAATACAACCTAAAACGACAGCGACAGCAAGGAGCTCACCATGGCCTCACGGGAATGAGGAAAAGCTATTTAAACGTCTTGACAGGTACTGATCTGAGGATTAGTTTCAGATTTTGATAACGTAGAATTTTTACACCCTCTGAAGGCTGGTAAGGGAGCCCTGGTGGCATAGTGGCTGAGTGCTTGGCTGCTAACGAAAAGGTTGGGCGTTCAAACCCACTAGTTGCTCCTTAACTGAGGGGGGGGGGGGGGCAGCCTGCTCCCGTAAAGATCACAGGCTCAGAAACCATTTGGGGTCATTCTACCCTGTCCTACATGGCTGTTATGGGTGGAGTGAACTCCTTGGGAGTGAGAGTTTATTGTTTCGGAAGGGTATTCAGGTACATTCAGAGACTGTCGTCTGTGAGTTAAAAAGGCGCCGGGACGTTACATGATAAAAGACACAATACTGCTTACCCCAACTGACTGAGGGCAGACGGTGGCATGTTATGGAGGTGCTGCTGTTGCCAGCCAGTGACCGAGCCAAGGTGAAGAGCGCTGGCGGTGTTGAACCCAGAGAGAGAGGACAGGTCTGCGCTGCTCAGCGAGTACTCTAGAGGAACGAACAGAGCAATGAGAGCAAAGAATTCCGCTCGGAAAATTACCTAACGGTGACGAGGACAAGTAGTTTCATTTTCTAACCCAGTCTCTTCATGTCGGTTTGGATCGCTGGTATACAGGTTTGGGACTTTCCCCCGAGTTCTGAAGCCTTCATTGAGCGGCCGTGGTGTCTGGAGCACGACACCCTTAGCAATGATGGGAAAGGGTAGGAACCACCACCACCCAGGGCAATTGCAAGGCAGAGAGTGTAGATTTCAACAGAAGAGCGTGTGGGATGGAGGCTTCTCAGAAGAATAGTTGGGATTTTTAATGTATTAGAACTCCCTTCCGTCTGTAGCGCACAGGTATTTGATGATAAGAAGTGTTCCTGTCACCACCAGAGGAAGGGTAAGCTTTCTATTAGACCAAAAGACCTAACCGTTCTTGTACCTTGGACTGGTACTTCTCTTAGACACTGCCAGTCATTTTAAGGAAGAGATGTGGCCAGCCATACTTGTTCATAAGGGATTGGGAATGGCCGAGTGCTCCAGACACCGCAGGCACTAAATAAAGCTCCCAAACACAGGAAAAAGGTGATCATTTCTTTATCTTGCTTTTTACTAAAAAGTATTTAGTGGATTGTTTTCACAAGGTGCAGCTACTTACCAGTACCATACGTTGTTGAAATGGCTGATGGATACCCTCCCATGCCTTGTCCAGGTAAAGTAGGAGTTGCTACGGAAACCACTGGGGTAGCCAATGACTGAGCAGACTGGGAGTTATTTATCCTCTGATTCTTTTAAAGTAAAAAAAGAAAAAGAAAAAGGAAAAAAAAGGCATTATTGATTGATTTCATGAAAAAAGTTAAAACTATTGTATTTCAGAATCAGTTTTGCACAGAGAGATAACTTGGTATAAATCTCATGAAATTAATCATTTAACATGTGTCTCTATGAACTCTGCCAACCCTATCATTTACAATCCTTCAAGAGACCAGTTGTTGCCATAGTAACCCATTACCTCAGTATCTCCTAGGCAACTGAACTAGTAACAAGTACCATAGCTTTATTATGGGTAAAAACAGACTATGTTGAAAACTGATGAAATATGTATACTGTACTTCCATTGTTTCAGTTTTTATTCAAATGCAAATTAAAAAATTAAAATCAACCATGGTGGTTTTTAATGTGCATTTCTACATACTGCATAGAGCAGATGGGTAGAGGTTCATGCTATATTCTGACCAGCAGGTGGTGCTCTGACCACTTTTTCAGATTCTCCTAAACTTCCCTCAAACTAGATAGCTAAGCAGCTAATTCCGTACTTAACTCCTTCCAGTCAGGAGGGTAGAGAGCCACATATACCAAAAGATCTTAAGAACTTAATTATCAGGAAACAAATATGCTCCGAGGTTTTAAAAAGAAATGTTATATTTGTATTCGAATTGTACTAAAAAATACATGTAAGCACATTGCAGACACAGCCTTCCCTTAGAGAGGCTGAGCCAGAAAATGAAATTACCTGATACATCCTTTCAATCTGAGCGACACCAAAAATGAATGGTATTTCAACATTTAGCAATACTGACAGACTCCAGTAACTTCCAGAATTTAAAAATGTCCCCAGAGCTACCACCTCCACCTGTAAGTAGCTTTCGATTTTCCCCTTACACTTGTCACATAAGAGACAGGCTCCCTCCACTTACCAACAGCAGGTCGACATCCTCAGACTGAGAGCATGGGGAAGGAGTTTTATTAATTAATGTCTGTAAATATTTATAGACGGGCAACATCTTTGTAACAAAAGGAAATGCATCTTCTGACAGTTGCGACAGTTTAAACAGTGTTCAAACCCAGACAATCAGGATAACTCCTTACAAAGGCATTCTTTGTTTCCCTTAATGAGCTGTTTGTCTCCCACATGAAGACCATCCATCCCGTTTTCAGCACAGGTCAGTGTCTCAACATTCATTATTTCCCCCACCACATTCTGACAACGAGGTTCTCCATGGGAGTCCCACTGGCAGGAGGTGGGGGCGCTGCACCAGGTTGCTGGAGACCTGACCACTCACAGAGCCCCTGGGAAAACATCAGTTTTAAGGGACTTGGAATAAATCTCCCGATGGAGGCAGCCTGCCATGGCCCACACTGCTTGGCTGTAGCCCTGTGGGAGGTTTTATTTATTAGCCCTAGTCTTTTCCGAAGGGAATGGTTGCATATTATGTGATTTTTTTGGTTGATATTCAAAATTAATCTGCGTGGTGCTATAATAAACTAATCAGCTTGCAGGACTGCTTTACCCTGAAGCTTTCTACAGAGCACAAAAAGAAAACACAAGAAGAAAATGTTTGCAGAATGATCTAAATTTGTCTACTGAATCTTGGTTTGGTTTTAAAATTCTCTCTCTTAAGCAAAGCTAATTTGGAGAACATGGATGTAAGTCTCTTTGTTGTTGAATTTGGTCTCATTATATTATCTTAATCTTAGGCATGCAGGCCTAGGAGAAAAAAAGAGAAGGTTGATATGTATATTTATATCTTACATTGGTATTTTTTTTCTTAGAAGGGCCCCCAACTTTTTAATGTAAACTCCATAATAATAATAAAACGCTTGTTCTCAAAATGTTTGGGATTTTAAAAACAATTTGCTTCTGGGATCTAAGTATATGCATAAAGTACAGACAAAGGGCCTTCAAGAAATTAATGAAAAAGTAGGTTTAAAAGAGAATGGAATTTTTCCATACATTAAAAAAAATCACTGCAATCCATCCAAGAAAGTATTTTCAAATTAATAAGGGAAAAAGTTCAGTAGGAAATCGTGGAAACCCCTTTTCTTTTTCAGCACCCGGAGGACATCACACCTGTGAAACTCTGGTCGGTATGTAGCCTTCATTCATTCATAAGTCTGATTTCACCACTAATCAAACCATAGTGTCCCTTGAGCGGAAGTCATCGATTCTTTTCTTTTTTTAAATTATAAATTGGACACATTTTCTTTGTCCCAGAACATGAGTCAGGCACAGGGCTTTACCAGCCTTGCTTATTTTTAACATGGAAAAGGAAAAGGCTAGCCCATTCTCAGGAGGAACAGCTCAATACAAACAGGGCCCCGGTTCTACTGTTGAAATGTTATTCATAAAGTTAACTCATCAAGTTAGCCAAGTTCGGAAGCAGCCACACATATATGCGCTACCCTATGTACATCTACGGAGAAGGTTGTTTTGTATTACCACGGACGGCATGGTGTTCTTGCTGCCTGGCGGGATAAGAACGCGGAGATCAGGTTTACGGTTGTTCATCCCCAAGTTCATAGGAGGGGGAGATTTCGCTTGCATATTCTTGTTCAAGTTCCCAGGTGAGACCAGCAGACCTGGTGAGTTTCGGGGATTGCCATACCCATTCCCTGTTAAAAAAACACACACACAAACACACAAAAAACAAGACACAACCATGAGGGTGCTGAGGAAGAAATCTAGACTCAAACGTGGCTCTCGAGATTACATACGTGGGATTCCAAATATAGCTTAGCATATAATGCACATACACTGTGAGACCCCAAGACGGACTGCTTGCACATCAGTGTCAAGAGTAACCTCAACACTTAAGTACTCCCTATGTCTCTAAAGGAGGATGAAACGGTTTTAAAATATTCACCAGAAAAAATATCCTCCCCACCCCCTCGCTGTTGACAACAATAGAAACCAGGAAGAGGGTTAGCCAGTTGTTCAGGGTGTAAGAAACGCTCCAAATTGGTCCTCTTCTCTCATCCACTCTCTCAGCAGAGGCCAGGCGGGCGTGACTCACTCTTTCAGTTCATTGGTTTGGGTTTTATTTCGTGTGTCTGTGTGTCCTTCCATGAGAAAGGGCAGAGCAGCAAAGACTATAATTTCTAGGACAAGCAGGAGGGGAAGCGCCTGACATTCTGCTGTTGGGTGCCCCCTTTCTCCGAGCGAAGCCCCCTCTGGCTTCCGCTCCTTGGGCCTCCTGCCTCGCCAAGTTTGGCGGGAGCCCGGGCTCTGCTGCCCTGCTCACACAGGACCTGAGCAAGCTGGACTCCTCAGGAGGAGGATGCCGCCTCCAGGAAACTGCTGACTCACCGAGGGACAGGAATAGCTATTGATTGAGAACACCGAAAAGGTTTCCTCAGGCCTCTGATGGGTAGCCCCCTCCTAATAGAAAAAATGATAACTGAAAGTCTCCAGTTCTCATCTTCCAAAGCGTGCTGCCCCTTGCCTGGGCGAGCTTCAGAGGGGGGCTTTGGCAACTGGACCATTCGAAAGCCCTGGCCTGCTTCCTCCCCTGCCTGCCTCTGATTGGAGCAGGCCGAAACCAGCGTCCACACAAGTATCAATTACCCCTGGACCAAGGATCCAGTGGGGGGCACAGCTGGGCCCCAGGCCTTCAGTGCCTGGTAGTCCCATGGAATCCCAGCCATGGGCAGGTGAAAGGTATAGAGTAGCACAAGAGGGCCGAGGCTGGGGTGCCCACAAGGAGCTCACCGAGAGGAGAGGCCCTCTGATGGGAGACTGGCCTTGAAGGAAGTGGGCTGGGAGAAGGGAGAGGGGAGAGAAGGTGATATATTAGGATCCTTGTGACTGGGTGCTGGGGAAGAGCCCAGGAAGGCATCCACAGTCCAGTCTGGTTAGCAGGAAAGGGCCCTGGCAGCACAGTGGTTAGTGCACTCTGCTGCTGGCTGAAGGCTGCCGATTGGAATCCACCAGCCGTTTCACAACAGAAAGATGTGGCAGCAGTTGGCTGTAAGGCTGGCCAACCATGTGGGCAACCTTACGTGGGGCGGTTCTGCCCTGTCCTGTCCCAGGTGCTGCAGGGCCATGGAGTCCAAATTGACTGTAAAGCAGAGACTGGTTTGGTCTGTGGCTGGAAGGGAACTCAAGAAAAGAGAGGGGTGGTTGAGGCCCTGGGGGAATACGGAGGCCAGGCTGGAGAAGAGGCTAAAAGATCGTGGGTTTACAGGGTGGAAAGAGGTAGGCCTGAGGCCTGCACAGTGGAGGGACAGAGGGACACGGGGCCGGGCCGGGGCGCCTGGTGGTGCAGGATGGATGGTTGCCTGCTGGACACCAAGGTGCTGGTCTGAGATAGAGGTTCTGCGGGCCTGGGAAGGCAAACCCCAGATGTATTTTGGGGAACATCTTTGGAATTAGGATATGTTTGAGGTACTGTGTACAGCATATTTGATCTTCATAACCCACCTACGGACCTGTCTCATTTTACACATGAGCAAACAGGCTGAGTACATAACAAATAACTACAAGATTAAATCTGTCATTTGGATCATGTGTAAAATTCCCCAAGTTACCAGGATAAAAAAACAAAACAAAACAAAAACACCCTCAGAAAATAAAACGAACACCCCCCTCCCCCGCCGCCACCTCCATGCATGCATCTATGTATCTTTTTTTAATTACTTAATCATTTTATTGGGGCTCCTACAATTCATCACAATACATAGATCAATTGTGTAAAGCACACCTATACATTTGTTGCCCTCATCATTCCCCAAAATTCGCTTTCCTCTTGGGTTCCTGGAATCAGCTCATTTTCCTTTTTTCCCCTCCCCCTCCGTTGTATCTATGTATCTTACACATAGTAGTTGCTTAAGGAACGCTGGTTGGGTTTGACTATAAATTACTCTTTGATAATAAAACTTAAGAGAAAAGCCAGTTAAATTATTTTAAGCCAGTTAAAAGATGTCAGAAGTCATCTCTCTGCCTCTCCCTTTACAGTGAATTTGTTTGGACATTTTTTGGGTGGCGAAATGTACTACATGAAGCAAATAGTAGTTGCCTTTACTCAGTCGGAGGACTAAAGAAGCAACAACAAGGGCCACGCTCCCTTACACCAACGCTTGCTGGGTAAGATGGCGTGCGCAGAGGAGTTTCCGACTGACCTTGTCTTACTGAGTTTGCCTGGTGCACATGTTCGGGTTTTCATGTTAATGAAGAGATTTTATTAGATAAAGAGGGTCTAAGGAAACAAAGGCCAAATTTGCGCTCGGCTTTCCTGTCAGCTGAAGTGCAGACTGACACACGGAATACATATGTCACTTATCTATTAAGCCTGTGTGAGATCTGGTTTAAATAAACAATCAAATGGAAAATTAGCTGGGTAATTTCAAAAGAAGGGGGGGGGGCAAAAAAAAAATTCAGTTAAGCGGTGCAATGAAGCTTGAATAGATCAGAAGAAACTAAAACCCCGGCGCGGTGGGTGCCGAGACTGGTTTGCATGGAGGAGTTATTTTGCTAAAAGGAAGTAAAACCGCTTCATGAAATGTGCTGTCCTATGATATGACCAGCCCCGGGCCAGTGTGCGAAAATGGAAATGCTTCACAGGGGCTCTGTGCAGAGAGCTTAATTTTTTTTTTTACGGTGAAGTTTCTGAGAAATTTCAACTCAGCCTCTATCTTTTTTGCCCACATTTTAAACAATGATTTGAGGAAATGGCATGGGGAGTGAAGGGAGGGTAAACATAGTTTTCTACCAAATAAATACCTCAAAACTCAAAAAACAAATGATTTTAAAAGCCTGCCGCTTCCCTCATGGAAGATGTCTTGCTATTTTAAAATGATGCCATTTTCGAAGATTAGTCACATATTGGAGGGTGTTTACATGTGAAATGTAAAATATTTTGAACCACGGTGACACTTCTTAAATACATATTTTAAGAGCATCAAGTTATTTTTAAGAACAAATAAATTTTGCCTATTTTTCCTTTTTAAACCGTGAATTTCTGCTGTTTTTAGCACTTTGTGCCAGCTAGCATTTTGGAGCCGTATAATAACCATTTCTGTTTCCAGCCACCAAATTGTTATTCTTTTGGCATAATATAGATTCAGGAATGTAAGACTGTGGATCCTAAGCCAGTGATATAGAAACCTATCATTTGAAAATCAATGATGAATACATGCGTGTGGTTTACTCTCAGAAGAGCCTGCATTTAAACCAGCTCAGAAACCACAGCCTGCTCCTCGCTCAGAACGCTGTGGCCTGGGCTGAGGCTGCTGTCCCACCTTAAGATCAATCCACCCAGAGAATGGTCTCATTCCAATTCAGAGGTGGGGAGGGGGTGGGGAGCACCACCCCACAACAACAACCGAATATACAGATTGAACCTCTCTTCATGCTATGTTTTAAAATTACCCTCCGCCTGGACAATTATCAATTTAGATGTGACTGCATGCAGATGTCACATTCCCCTGACCACTTAAAAGCACAAAAATTACATAGCATGAGTGAATGGATTTCCTGATTATAGATTATAAGTAAATGAAGAACAGACCAACTTTAGAGTCAGTTTGTTTTATAGTTTCATTTGATTAAAAATATTGTTCCCCCCCCAAAAGAATGAAAAAACCCTAAAAACAATTTTAGGCATTCATAATTTAATTTGTATAAAGCATAAGAGATGCCACCTCTACTGGGTGCAAATTTCTAAAAACCCCTACTATTAAAATTAGTATAAATATCCCAAACTTGAAGTATCGAGAAGCTCTTTTTCTTTTATTTATACACCCACCCCAAGTTAACTTCAAACACTTGCTGCAGTTTCTTCTTCTTATTTTTTAACTGACTCCTATTTTAAGAAGTTGTAAATTCAAAGAACATATTCCTGGCTTAAGATGTTATGAGGAGGATATTTTGCCTTGTCTCACAGTGCTCAGTTGAGCATGTAGCTCAATTTGAGCACAAGGTTCTGGAACTTTCTCTTATGTGGATGTTTACACATTATGTGTCTCTTTGCTTTTCCCTTGTATTTTTCTGGGCTCTCAATGATAAACACAAGCATATAAACCATGAAACAGAAACTGGTCCCTATAAACCAAGGCCAAGTCCTTCATTGGCATTATTTTGTTTTACAGCCCACCCTAAATTAACCTTGTCACCTTTGACCCTCCATTCCCGTGCTGTTCAAGGGCATATCCATTCAGATACCATGCCCTATGAGGTTTTTGTCAAAAATGCTTCATCGCTGCACCTATTCTTCCATGAGGGGCCCTGGTGGGACCGTAGGGGGTATGAATTGGGCCACTAAACCACAAGGGCAGCAGTTCGAAACCACCAGCTGCTCTGCAGGACAAAGACGAATGGGGCTTTCTGCTCCAGTGAAGATGTTCAGCCTCGGAGGGGCAGTTCTATTCTGTCCTCTAAGGTCAGCATGGGCTGGAATCGATTAGATGGCAACGAGTAAATTCTTCCGATCTCGGTAGCCCTGGTCCTGCTTTAGATCTTCATCCTCCTTTGATTAAGCTCTCTGTAACTCCCCTTCTGGGCCCCTGGCCATTACTGGAAGGCTTCTCCAGGAGGCCTGTCGATGGGTCTGAGGAAGGCTGTGACGCCTCAAAGCTGTATGCAAACCTTTGTGCCTATGTGTGATGATGCTAAACTT